TCTCAAACTCTTTGTTGTTTTTTTCTCTCGAGAAGTCGTTTTGCAAACCAATCATTGATTTGAAACGATTCCTGACCTTAAGATATTTTAATTAAAGTATAAATCAAACGATAACACAGTTAACAACGAACAGGACTCTCAAAAATTTGTTTTTAATTAAATTAATAAATGTTTTATTGGATTTTAAGTTACATTTTATTTTGCAATTAAATTTTGGTTATTGTATGAAAACTAACAAAAAGCAAAAATGAATAGTCATTTGAATTGGAAATAAATTTCTGTGTTGTAAAAGATTCTTGTAATTTGTGGTGACATTCATTGGCAACATTTGATACCAAAGTAGACGACAACCAAACCAGCGGTCAAACCGTAGAGGAATGGGACGAGAGTTTCGTTGACATCAGCGACGGGACACTTAGATTCAGACATCGAGTCGTGTCTTGCGTTTGGATTTATATCTCAATAAATGTCTTACAATTGGATTGATTTGTATCACAATTTGTTTAGTATTTGCTTTGGGTTTAGATTTTGTGATTTGAATCTAAATTTGTTTTTCTTAACGTTTATATGATTTAAATAATTATCAAATTGTTTGCAATTACGAGATAATTAAATATTTAAATGTCTGAATTTGAATCAACTTTAAATGACTTGAAATATAGTGTATTTAAAAGTAGTAATAATTGTTATTATTGCGCGATTCAGTCGATAAGCAATCTGTTCACTGATATTCATTGAAACTTATAAATTATAACTTCTCAGCAAATGTTTTGAATGACTTATGAAACAATTTTACGGTTTAATAATAACAGATTAAAACGAGATTATTTTGTTTATTACTTAATTTTTAAATCTGTAACAAACGTTATGAAAAATAGATTTGCAAATAGTATTCAAATCCTTTGACACAAAATGTTTAATAAATTGATTCTTAGTATTATTTTCTTGATTTGTGTCTCAATTAATATCAGCCACTCTTTGGTCATCAGGTCTTATAATTCAGATAATGGCCGACAAAATCCAAGTCTTACGCCAAATGGCATTCAATCAATCAATTTATTGGCAGATTTAGACAAACATGTGTTGAGCCGTCGTTTAAGACAATCATCGCCTGAAGACAACGGCATTAATGATGACAATTCAGAGAAGAAGTCTAAAACCAATGTCTCGATGACCACAATAGTGATCGTAATCGTGGTATTGGTTGTGGCGATCGGAGTCCTAGTGCTGGTCATTGTATTGATGGCCAATAAGATAACAAAATCCGAGTCACCGACGAAGAGGACCGATAAGTTAGTGATCCCTCAAAACATGACCACAAGTACTGAATCAGAAGTTACTCCAGAAGACAATTCAGAAGATGTGGACGAATTTAAATTCAATTATTTCTATAACATTGCGCCAAACGATTACATCAAATACAGTAAATTCATTGATATTCGGGTCAAGTTTGAAGATCGAGATCCGAGACAAACCTCTTAAATGACCACATTTTTTAGCCCCAAATTGTTTCTACAAATCTTTGTTTTTAGTTATATTTTACTCATTAGACATTGATTTAACTTTTTAATTCATTTATTTTATACTAATTTCAGTTTTTAAATAAAGATAAATCTATTTTAAAAACTACAAGAATTTTGTTAATATGATTTTTCTGTGTATTTTTTGCTATTATCTCAATTAATGGCACACATATAACAATAATTTGGTAAATAATCATTGTGTAAAACAATGTCTGATACATGTAAAACATAACATAATTTTAATGTAAATCTAATAAGTAGTAATAAAAATACTTGAATTGATTTTAGATTTAATAAATAATGAATTGACAATTGATTAGAAAATTACAAAAAAATTACAACTTTTACAAAACAAGTATTTGTATCACTTGTCTATTTTACATGTAATTACGATATTAATAATCTTTAATTACTAATTAAAAATAACTGTTATAAAGAAAATTACTATCATTTAACGTATGTTTTTAAGTATGAATCAATGTTTTTATTTATTTTATTCAATTAAATAAATAGTATCTAAAATTTGAATTAAAGTATAAATTAATAGCGAAAATATGGAGAAATTAACAGAAATTAAACGCTTATATAATCAATGAATAAGTTTTGAAAAGATTTTGTGAATTAACAAAAATCTGTACAAAATTAATAGTTTTGATTGAATTTTGTGTAATAGTATTGAGAGGTCTGTTGGCTATCGATGGAAATGCAGTCGTATTTCGTGTGATATTTGGATCGCAAACTTTGGATCAATTGATGGGTTCTTTGGCTACAGAATGGACTCAAATCCATGTAATGCAGGCATTGGAAGTGCGGATACGCTTTGATGGCGTCCAACACCTCATCCCACGCTTTCATTACACATATGTATTGAGATATCAAAACTTTGATCCGCGTCTCCAGACAGTGGTCTCCTTCTGGCACAGAGAAGCCCAACGACCGCAGCGTTTGGCGCACGACTGGCCACTCGATGTTCGTCGCTATGGTCTGCAAGTCGTGAACCGCTGTCACTAAAGCCGTGTCGAAGCGCTCGTCCGACCGGCGCTTCCGTTGCCGTCGACCCGGTCTTTGGTTTGCTTTGACCGCAGGTTTGGCGCCAGACTTGTCGGCACAAGAAAGGACCGGCCGCTGTTCAGGTGCTGTCCTCTTGTTGAGTGTGGCCATACCGGTGCTGACCATCACCAGCGGCACTGCCATAATCGGGTATCGATTGGACTGTGCTGTCGGCGCCATCGCTACCGGTTTGGTCGGCGCCTTATTTTGGTTACGATTGCGACGGCGTTGACGGCCGCCACCCAAACCACGATCGATGGGCTCCGTCTGTGTGGCCACTGTTTGCGTCAACAGGTGATGGACAGTGTCTTTGACTGCAGCCAAGTCTCGCAACCGATTGATTGATCGGACAGTTTTGTATTTCAAGAGTCCATCGAAACATATGGTGTCCAAAATGGCGAACATTTCCCGCTTCTGGTCATCGAGTTTGCGATCTTTTAGTCGTTTTTTAAACACTTTGGCCGACATATGCATCAAATAGTGAGCGATAACTGTATTGAAATGGCGGACCAATTGTTTTTCGGTGAACAGGCGGTGGCCGTCGGCTTTGAGCGCAGTCACCACCGATTGCCAGTCGATTTGGGTCGCCCTCTGACCGCCGCCCAGTTGTCGACCGAGTTTCTGGACTAAACATAAGTGCATTTGTTTCCGATCGGAGACCACGTCTTTGGGCAACGGTTTGGTTGCGTCGACCGGTGCCGAAGCGGTTGCCGTTTGGCTGATCCCCTGTCCGGCTGTCTTCGTGGACACCTGTATCTTAGAGGCGTTGTAGACCTGAAATCTCGAGCTACGGATCCAAGTGGTGACTCCCCTCTCATTGTAGTGCTGATCACATGAGACACAAATGTGGCATAAGTTAAGTGCTATAATCATTGGATCTATAATTACTTTAAATGAATGGCTATTAAAATCAATGTCTTTCAATCCGTCGTCGATTTGAATCAATTTCGACAATACTTTCCGAAACCTAACGAATTGTTTGCCAATAATGTCTTGGAATTCCAACCGATGGGTGATATCATTGATCTCGACGTAACACCGAAACCAGCGTTTCGTCTTCGGGATCGGTTGCGGTGACGGCAACTGTCCGGACATTTGGTGTGATTTCGTGTAAACGGTTTGCAAATTAATTCAGATTTAAATTCTAGTCTTTTATAACGAATTCAATACTGATTTAAATGACAATTATTGTTACCAATAGTGATGTGATGTCTGTTTCGCGTGTTTTTTCAAATCAATCATTACTTTAGCTTTGATTTCGCGTTCATTTGAATTGTTGTTTTAGAAAATTGAATGTTTTATTCAAACTATTATTTCGTGTCAATTGTTTAAGTCTTAAAGTTATCAATCAATTCCTCGATGTCTTCGCAAACGCCAACCGTTAGATACCATACAATCGTTAATATCAATGCAATTCAGACATTAGATGACAAATCGACGCAAAACTTGGCCGTCAATAATGTGGTGAAAGTGATGAACGGAACCATTGAATCGGTTCTTCACTTAATCGGCTATTCGTTTCTGCAAATCAAACAAATCAACAGAGAGTTAGCCGTGAAATACAATGCGGAACAGAACCAAGAGTTTGATTTGTCATATACTGAGCGCCAGATCTGCCGCATCACCAACAATGACATTATGAACGCCCGGCCCTCCAGAGCTCATGTCATCCAATACGGCGACCACTTGTACGGAGTGATCGTTGACAGAGGAGTGGCCAGAATTTGCGGTCAAATATATCACGTGATTCCCAAAACTCTGGACACGAATAGTGTGTTTGCGAGAGGAGTAAAAATCTGTCCAAAGAGTGGTAAAGTGGAGGAATTGTCCCACAATGAAGACGTACGCAAACACATAGACAGCGGTCACCACATTGTGATTGTCTCAGAAAACGGATCCCTTTTTGTCGTATCAAATGATGACACGACTGGAGGGCACCAATTGGAGGCCAAACTCGGACTGGTTTTGGGTATATTTGTATTAAAATTGTATTTAAACTTTAATTGATTGCATTTCACTGTAAGACAGGCCACGGATTTGTAATAATCGAGTGCTCTGTCGACCCACCCGTCGATTGGATACGAAGTAAACCGCGTCTGAGAGATGAGAGACGGGAATCGACACCACTTTCCCGAAACGAGTCCCTCATTGTATCAAATGCTGCCATTAGTGTCGGCGCCGACGGAGCCCATATCTATGGCACCGGATGTCTGGTCAGCATTAAGACTATCAAAGAATTCTATGATTTTAGTTAAACTTGTTTTGCATATGTTTTGTTGAAATTTTTCACAAATTAAAAATTAATTGCTTTCGAAGTTAAACTCTTTTACAAAATTAATGTTTATTTAATTGTCATAAAAACTCTGTAACAAATCAATTGCAATCAATTTAAATAATATATAATTTAGAAATAATTAATTAATCAAATCAAAGGATCGCTTTAACAAAATGATTCAAAACAGATAAAGCAATTGAATCCAAAGAAATGCCGCCCATATTGGCTATCATTGCCACAGAGATGTCGAGTTCGGGAACCATTGCCACAGTGTTTACACTGCCAGCCACTGAACCAGAATAATGGATAAACTGTTTGTCGGTTGAGTTGGTCTTGGGGTCAGTATATTTGCTTACATACCATCCCATGCCATAACCCGATAGTCTGGGTGTCCAGAGTTCGCGAACAGTCGCCGACTTTAGATAACCTTAAAATAAATCAATTAAAATGTTAGTTTTACTTGGTTTAAAAACATATAAAACTTAGATTACCATCACTTTTGTAGAGTTTCATCATAATATCGGTAAATCTAAGCAAATCGGGAACATCTGTGATAATACCGCCCATCGGTAGCCACGGAAGCGGTCGACCCAAGTCCTCAATAAACACAGCATTTTTGAGAATCCAGTTTTGCTTATCGGGTGTCCGCTGGCGAGTATAGGAGCGGCACCGATGAGGGATCACGAGCTCCGGTCGCGACAATTGAGTTGAATTCAATTGAAAATGAGTGAACAATTCATTCATATTGACTTCAAAGTCCCGATTAGTGACCGATTCCATGATAGCGCCGATCAAATGCCAGCCCCAGTTCGAGTAGAAAAACTTTGTGCCCGGTTTGGCCACCAATGGGTCCGCCCGAAAGTAGACCAAAGTGTCCGTAACGTTACGACAGTCGCGTATTAACCGGAAATCGCGCTTCTCTTGAGTAGACCTAATACCGCCCGTCATTGACATTAACTGTCGGACAGTTATGTTTACCGATTGGCCTGAGTTTCAAATACAATTTATTTGTTAATCAAAACTTTATGTATAAATCAGTTTGTAATTAAAATTATTGTTAATGAGATACTGAACTATACCTTCCCATTGTTTTGTGGGAAAGAGTGCTTCACTGATATATTGATGAATATCTGAATCCCAGACTATTTTGGATTCTTCCACGAGTTTAGCGACGACTGCCGTCACAAAAGCTTTGGTGACACTTCCAGTCCTGAGGACAGTATCGGTTCTCATCGGTACCTCATTCTCCACATCAGACAATCCAAAACTGTTGACCCAAACGTGTTTTCCCTTATAATTAATACCAATCACTAATCCGGGTATAAATTCATCGCTTTTGTACTTTTGAACAGTATTTACGCTCTCTTTGATCGCATACTCAAAGTCTTGAGTTTGGATCAAATCAACCGAAACCACAAACAAACAAATAATACAAAATAATTTCATTATCAATACGTAAAACAAAACTATACCAAAACTAAAAACCTATTAAACATATAAGCAAATAATTAAACAAAAAAAATCAAGTTTTATAACAATAGTCTCGAATTCATTGATAACTACAGTAAATACAATAGTCTATTGAATAAACGATAAAATACTGAATAAATAGCAAAAAATACATGAATTACTGTTTAATGAATAGATTTAACTGAAAACATAAGTCGACTCCAAATACAGATTAAATATCAACTAAATTTTCAATACAAATGGACTTAAAATTTTTGTTTTATCGTTTTAGATAACTTCAAGTAATTAACTAAATACTAAGGATCTTAAGGATTGATAAATGCAAACAATGGATCAAATAATCACTTCAACAAAACGGTTTAAAACTGATAAAGCGATTGACTCCATAGAAATGCCGCCCATATTGGCTATCATTGCCACAGAGATGTCCAGTTCGGGAACCATTGCCACAGTGTTTACACTACCGGTGACTGAACCAGAATAATGAATATACTGTTTGTCGGCTACGTTTGTCTTCGGGTCAGTATATTTGCTTACATACCATCCCATACCATAACCCGATAGTCTGGGTGTCCAGAGTTCGCGAACAGTCGCCGACTTTAGATAACCTTAAGAAATGCCACAAATATATTGAATATTGTTTTTATCACAAAAAACTAACAAAATTACCCCCATTTTTGTAACTCTTTATCATGATATCAGTGAATGTAAGCAAATCGGGAACACTTGTGATAACGCCACCCATCGGTAGCCACGGAAGCGGTTGACCTAAATCTTCAATAACGGCCGCACTTTTAAGGATCCAGTTTTTGTTATCGGGTGTCCGCTGACGAGTGTAAGGGCGGCACCGGTGAGGGATTATCGCCTCACGTCTGGACAGTCGCGTTGAATTCAAGTGAAACTCTTTAAACATTTCATGCATAATGACCTCATAGTCCCGATTAGTGACCGATTCCATGATAGCGCCGATCAAATGCCAGCCCCAGTTCGAGTACCGGAACTGTGCGCCCGGTTTGGCCACCAATGGGTCCGCCGAAAAGTAGGCCAAAGTGTCGGTCGCGTTATGACAATCACGTATTCGGTGGAGAAAATCGCGTTTAGTGTCTAAATCTCTAATACCGCCCGTCATTGACATCAGTTGTCGGACAGTTATGTTCACGGCTTTGCCTGTATTTAAAAGTGTCTTATTTAATGTTTAATGAATTAAATGTCAATTTGTATAAAAATTAATGAATTGGTGAGAAATTTAATAAACCGATTGATACCTTCCCATTGTTTTGTGGGAAAGAGTTCTTCACTGATATATTGATGGATATCTGAATCCCAGACTATTTTGGATTCTTCCACGAGTTTGGCGACGAGTGTTGTCTCAATAGCTTTGGTGACACTTCCAGTCCTGAGGACAGTATCGGTTCTCATCGGTACCTCATTCTCCACATCAGACAATCCAAAACTGTTGACCCAAACGTGTTTTCCCTTATAGTTAATACCAATCACTAATCCGGGTATAAATTCATCGCTTTTGTACTTCTGGACCGCAATAATGCTCTCTTTGATCGCATTCTCAAAGTCTTGAGTTTGGATCAAATCAACCGAAACCGCAAACAAACAAATTATGCTTAAAAACAATTTCATAATCAAAACCTAAAACAAAACTAAAACAACTTATTAAAAGTGAACGCAAATAAAATCAATCAAAAAGTTATAACAATGGTATCAAAAATGATAAATATAAACAATAGTCTATTGAATAAAACACATAAATATATCAATCATTGTTTTAAATACATATCTTTTACTGAACACAAGTCGACTCCAAATACACATTAAATATAAAATATATTTTCAATTGAAATCGACTTCAAATCAAAGATTAAGACTTAAGTCATAGAAATTATTAAATACTAAATAATGGATCAAATCTTGTAATTAAATGACAAAAACATCATTATTTTGTGGCAATAAATGAATGAAAAAAGGATTTATTAATAAATTGACAAAAAATAAATCTAATGAACAAAAAAGTAGACAAAAACTGATACGAAATGTTAGGACACAATTAGAGACGACGTTTGGACGGCCCTCTGACACCACCGCCTCCTCCACCGCCGCCACCACCCCCTCCGCCACCGCCTCCACGCCCTCCTCGGCCGCGTCCCCGACCTCTTCCGCGCGCGGCGCCCGATCTCGAGGCCATGGCTTCGCGTTTCTTGGCCTTAGCCTTCGGCGTGTCGTCCACCAGAAGTGTCTCTAACGGCAAAGCGTCCGGAAGTATAAAATAGCGGATATTATTGCCGCGAATGGACAGCGAGTCCAGTGTCTGCGAGACTCCCGTCTTTCCCAACAGTTTCACAGACTTCAGGTGTGTATTCATCGCCACATCCACTCCCGCTATCGTTCCGCTCACCTAAACATTGGGATCAATTAATTGTGATATTAGTAAAGAATGGTTAGACAATGACTGCGGAGGAATGGTATGATATACTGACAACTGTTCCGTTCTTGAGCTCAACGGTGACCGTCTCGTGGGATAACTTCATCAAAAACCTGTCCATAAATACAATGGCATTCATTAGACGTTTAGTTTATTAATCATTAATTGTTTTAATTATAAAATTAAAGTTTATTTTCAATTATAAATTACAAGCATTTAAAACACAATAAACTTTTGTCAAAAATGCTTGTATTGATTGGTCTGCAATTGACCATGGTCACTTACCGTACTAATTTCATCCCGGTATTTGGTGGTCTAAACTAGCTTTTAATTTAGTTGTAATGCGATTATAATAATTGTAAATTAAATTAGTTTTAAATCCAATTAAATGTGTTTTGTGTTGTTTTTGATACGACCGGTGTGTCTGTCAAACGCACGGCTGTACGCATGCGCTGCACATTGTCTTACATCTACTGTACATCAATTGCGGCCATTAATTGTACACTGATTTTTGCATTACAATTAATGTTTGACTTGTAATCAATTTAGGTTTCTATTAAAATCCATTATAAGTTTAAACTTATTTACTATTGCTTATATTTTTAACAAGCTTAGTTTTTATAATTAACCATTGCTTAATTATTTAAAAATACTAATAAATTAATGTCTAAAACACCGGACGTTATTTGTGTGCAGACTTGATATTTGTTACAACAGGAGTACAATTGAGTGAAATATATTGTGGACCAATTCCATGTGTTTTCAATGCGAAACGTCAGCAAACATTTGTTGCGCTAAAAGCAAAATATTTGAATCGTGCGGGAAATCAACGGTTGTTTACAATTGAGGCAAACATTTGACACAAAACTCGCGTCCATTTCATGCGACCCATCGGTTGTGTCCGCACACGTGTCCACGCATTGTGTCCACAACTCCAGCACCACATCCAACACATCCAGTGATAACCACAAGACTTTCTCGACCACCAAAACGATGGCCACGAATAAGATCCCGGAGGAGGACATCATGTCGTTCGTGAAGAACATGTTCGCCGTAACCATAGCTCGGGAACAGCTGTTGGCGCCGACCAAAGAGTTTGTGGTCGGACTGTACGCCCGCTTTCTGGCCGAGTTTGGGATGGAGAACGTGGCCCAACCCGACCTCATGGCCACCGGCGGTATGGATAACATCGAGCGCTACGAAACCAACATAATTGTGGCCAACATTTACAAATCGGTGTCCAGTTTGGTGGCCAACGCAGGCGTTCCCGACATGACGTTCGCCGATGTGGTGGCCCCGAAGAGGGTCCGCACCAATCGGATCCTGTCGTCGCTCTGTTCGCTGCTTTTGAAGTTGACTGAAATCGAGGAGCGCTTCCAACACATGCAGAGCAAGTGTGTGGATCTGCCGGCCCGGCGACAGGCGGTCGAGCAGCGCATCCGTGAGCTCAAGAGGTCCGTCGAAGAGAAGTCCATGTATTTGTCGGCCAACAAGAGTAAGACACAGGCGTCGGCTCAAGAGCTCAAAGAGTTGGCCGAGAAGTATGAGGAGAAGCGCTGCGCCGCCGATCTTCTCCAGGAGGAGAGCCGCGCACTCAAGACCACAATTCTTGCACAACGGGTTTGTACGAGTGATGGTCTGTTCAGTGGTTCCATATAATGATTGTCTTCTTTTTGATTTATAGGAAAAGTTAAGCGAAATTGATATCGAAATGAGTAAAATGCGTGAAGATATACAGGAGTTGGAGAATAAAGTGGTTAAAAGTCCGGAACGAATCCAAGCGGACACCGAAGAGAAGGAGACAGAACTCGAGGCCAAACGTGTGGAGAAGAAGAAGTTGGAGAAGCAATACATGGAGTTAATCCGTTCGGTCGACCACTTGAAAGAGGCCTCCAAGTCGTTAATGCCATCGCTTGAGACGTTTACCGAAGCGTTCAAAGACATAGAATCCATTCGCAGTGAGTGCGAGAAGTTGTCCGAAAACAAGGTTTTGGTCAACAGTCGGGAAGAGAGGCTCAAGTCGTTGAGAGTGCAGATCAAAGAGCAGGAGAAGAGTTGCCAAACGCTGCGGCAACAGATGGTGAACAACGATAAGTCATTCCAACAACAGATCCAAACGATGAGACAAATCAATGGCGGAATGAAAAGCGATCTCGAGATGAAGACCAAGAATCAGACCGAAGCCCAGAAGTACTGTCTGGAGGAGAGGCTACGCCTTGAGTCCCAATTGGATGCGTTGGACGCCCAGCACAGGGCCGCCAAAGAGAAGGTCGACTCCATATGGAAACGACACGCGGAGGCCATGAAGAGTGTCCACAATTTGATTGAGAGCCGTATGAATGCCATCAAAGCTATTAAATCTCAACGAAAAGTTGTTCAAAACTGATTGAACAAAACATTGTATAACATTATTAGTCTATATTTCTATTACACATATAATACTTGTATTTTTACTTAATAATTGGCGCAATGTTTGCCGCTATAATTACCTGTCAAACAGTATATACCAATTTAATTGACACTTTTATTACCGTATTTTTATAGTAATATGTATAACACTTTTGTATTATATTTCATTTCGATTAATTCATTATATATTGTTTGAGAAAAATATGCCGACATTTATTACATTCATGTGTTTTATAATTGTGTGATTTGTGTAAAAACTGATGTATAGTTTGAATTGAATTATTAATGTCCAGTAATTGAGTTAATTTTTAATGAATATTAGTGAACAGATTGCTTAGCGATTGAATCACGCGATAATAACAATACTTTTAAGTACACTATATTTCAAGTCATTTAAAGTTGATTCAAATTTAGACATTTAAATGTTTAAAATTGTTTTACTATTAAAACACAAATTCAACGAATATTAAGATTAAAGACTAAAATCTTATTAACGCTAAGATGTTATCCATATTTATGGCAGCGAAAGGTCAGTCATCGCAGACCAAGGCTTCACTCTTACGGCAGGAATCGTTAGAGACTCCGATGTTTACGAGTCCTACCATTACTGCCGATCAACTCAGAGCTCAGACCAAATGCTTTCATCAAAAGATCCGCATTTATTGTGCACTTCATAGACCTCTCGGCTCAGCAAAGATCTATCACTGGATTGTTTTAATACTCCTATTCCTGTCTGTCATTGCGTTCAATGTCTTCGACGAAGCGGTCGATTCCGATAAGGATTGGGTCGACAACAGAACAAAGTTGGCGAAAGTCATCCTCGACTTCATTCTCGCAGGTATTTCAGCAGACAATTGATCCGCAAATACTATAATCAAAACTAATCATTCAATTCATATCCAGTTATCATATCACTCGAGTTTGTGGTCAGACTTTGGGCCGCGGATTGCGTTCACGAATACAAAGGACTGTCCGGAAGACTAACGTATTTGAGACACAACTGGTTTATGAGAGGAGTGGATGTGTTTGGAGTGATTCTGTTTATGGCTTACGGTATCAATGAATCGGTGATCCAAACACACGGTTTACGACAATTTATATGTCTCATGCAATTGACACAAATCTTTCAATTGCATCGACTCTTGTTTCGAGTGATGAAACTCATGATCGAAACCATACTAATCCAGAGGAAGCAGA